GTTTGGTGAGGGTGTGCAGCGAAAGAAACAACACTCCCGCACACAGACGAGAAACATCATGAAACACAAGCAAACGAATCGAAGGAAAGAGCATCGAAAACAAAACAAAACAAAACAAACATGAAGAGTAGAGAAACATATTTATCCTCGCCGCATGGAAAGATCATTGATTGGAGCATGTGTAAAGGCGGGTTGGACCATCCCTGCTCATTCGTCCTTTTTCTTCCCAGCAGACAGCCATACACACACGCACAGACGCATACACAGATGCATTCTTTCCCCCCCGCTTCGCTTCCCCACTCACAGCGCCCATCCACCGCACGCCGCCGCAGTTCCCATGAATAGCACACGGAAAATGCAGAAGTGTCTGCATATCACTGGGATGCATCCACACACGTGAGGACACAAAGAGAAGGGGCCGAATAACGAGTTGTAGGAACGCCTGTGGTAGAGGGATGTGTACGACCATGCCCGTGCGCATATGTGTTTCTGGGAGGGGTGAGGAGGCAAATTGACTACCTTTTACATTTAGCTGTGTTTTATTTAGCCTGTTCTGTCTTTTTTAGCTTGTTTTTCTTTTTCCTCTCTCTCTCTCACTGGCACGTGGGTATACGCCATAGGACCCTGCTTGTGCTCAGGTGATTTTTCTTCTTCCCTCTTCTGTTGTCCCCGAATAAAACTTTTTTCTTCCCCGGGCTTCAGCCCCACTCTTTCTGCTGCTGCTGCTGCTGCACCGCAGCACACGGGCTGGAGGGACGGAGTGCGACGCGCCGGGGCAAACACAAACAGGAACAGAAGACAAAACCAAAAAAAAAAACCACACACACACACACAAAGGAGACACAAGTGATAGGAGAACAATTTTCCGACGGCAGATGGTTCTTCTTTCCCCACCTCCTCTTCTCACCTCACCGTCTCATATATTCTTCCCGTCAAGATCCCTTTCTTTACTCTTTCATTCTTGCAACTGCGTGTTCATTCGCCCATGGAAGTCTGCAACACGTGCATGCTCTTCACTTTACGAGCACGAAAAAAAAGCCGCAAGAAACAACAAGCAAACAAGACATCCACGCAGATGACCAAAAAAAAAAAAACAAGCCTCATAAGCAGAACAGGCAGTGACTGCTGTCTAAGTAAAGGAGAAATAGGCACCGAAAGCAGGCGATATGCGTAACTTACGGGAGCGGTGCCAACGGCATTGTCTTCACCTTGCCGACTTGGAAGTGGGCACTGGTCATCTTCGCAAGCTGATCAACGCTCATGCCCTCCGCGACCTCCTTCAGCACAAGCTGGCCGTTCTCCACATCAAAGACGGCGTGCTCCGTGATGATGCGATTGACGCAGTTCTTGCCCGTCACCGGCAGCTGGCATCGCTCCACAATCTTGGATACACCCTTCTTGTTGCAGTGCATCGTCGTGACGACGACGCGTGTGCCACTCGAGACAAGGTCCATTGCACCGCCCGGTCCCTTCACAAGTTTGCCGGGAATCATGAAGTTTGCGAGGTCACCGTTGGCGCCAACCTCAAGGGCGCCGAGCATGGTGATGTTCATGTGGCCGCCACGAATCATGCCAAAGGATGTGGCGCTATCGAAGAGGGCGGCACCAGGCAGGTAAGAGATGGTCTGCTTGCCCGCGTTAATCCAGTCCGCGTCCACCTTGTCCTCCGTGGGGAAGGGTCCCATGCCGATAAGGCCGTTCTCCGACTGCAGCACGACGCTGACGCCGGCGGGGATGTAGTTGGCCGACTCCGTCGGAATGCCAATGCCGAGGTTGACGTACATGCCGTCGGCGAACTCAAGCGCCGCGCGACGGGCGATGCGTTGGCGTGCCTGCTCCTCGGGGGAGGTCGCCTCGGTGGGCTTGGCGGTCTCGTTGGGGCGCGTGATGGTGCGCTTCTCGATGTGCGTCTTGTACGGCTCCGGCACCACGACACGGTTCACGTACACACCCGGCAGGTGCACCTCGTTGGGGTCAAGCTCGCCGTTCTCCACGAGGTTCTCCACTTCGGCGATGACGGTACGTCCGCACTGGCCGGCGGGGACGTTGAAGTTGCGCGAGGTGCCGCGGAAGACGAGGTTGCCGCTGCGGTCCGCCTTCCATGCCTTGACTACAGAAAAGTCCGTGCGGATGGCGCGCTCGAGGACGTACCAGCGGCCGTCGATGTGGCGCGTCTCCTTCGGCTGCGACTCGTTTGCCACGGAGCCGTCCTTGTTGTACTTCGTGATCTGTCCGCCAGTCTGCGTCAGCGTGCCAAATCCGGTGGCGGTGTAGAAGGCGGGGATACCAGCGCCGCCCGCCCGCATGCGCTCTGCGAGGGAGCCCTGTGGGCAGAACTCCAGCTCCACATCACCGGAGAGGTACTGCTTGGCGAAGATCTTGTTATTTCCAACGTAGCTCACGACCATCTTGCGGATCTGCTTGTCATCGAAGAGCACGCCAATGCCGTATCCGTCGATACCGGCACCGTCGCTGTAGATTGTCAGGTCACGCACACCCCGGTTCTTGATTTCCTGCATAATCGCGTGCGGCATTCCGGCCGTTCCGAAACCTCCAACAGAGAGCGAGGCACCGCTCTTGATGTCGTCGACGGCCATCTTCATGGACATAACCTTGTCGAGGCCGGCCATGCGGAGGAATGTGCGGCGCAGCATTGTTGAATGTTATTAACTCAGTAGCGCGACGAGGTGGATTTGGCTTGTAGCCCGGTGGTTTACTTCTCTCTTTAGGAGCTTAAACTGCGCCAGACATGCAATCAAAGGGAAGGAAACAATCAGAGAAACGATGAAGGCAATAGTCATTGCTTTGAGCAGGAAGCACATCAAAAGGGGAAAAAACCGCCGAAGGCGATGGTGACTCAGAAGATAAAAGGTCACGAAGAAAAAAAATAAGTGAAGGAAGTTGAGCTAACCCCCCTCCCCTCCCCACACACACAGAGAGAGAGAGAGAGAGAGAAAGGTGTTCAAAAAGAGCATTGATGGCACACAAATCAACATGCAGTCATGGAAGGGCTTCTTCCCCACCCACCCCCTGTCTCACTCAGCCTGCATTCACTTCTTCAGAGCTGC